AAAAAGGATAAGGATTTAATTGAAAAAAGCTATTTATAAAATTTCCCACATATCGACAACCCGCCTATTTTCTATTCGATTTATCATCTTCGATTCCCTAGGAAAAATATTCCACGAGCCAATATCAATTCCAAACCTTCCTTTTTTTCCCTCCTCCCCTTCCAAAAATCTATCACGATCGCTCAATCAGAAAACTGAACCTGTAGATATCGCGCTCGAGCGATCCAGCATGAATTCCAGATAGATTCAAGAACCTTCTGCCCTGTTAAATCCGTTTCAGATTTCCATCGGTCATCCGCCGCGTAACAAAAACGAAATACGGCCGACAAGAAAAGTATCTTCGGTTTGGTCGAGCTGGTAATATCCGGTGTTCATTCGACCCAGAAAATTCCCGAGTTCCAAAAGGAAGGGGGGGGGGAGATGAAGGAAAGCACGATCCTCTGACGCAAGAGGGACGAAGGAACGCCACCTTTCGTTCCAGGGTTTCGTGCACAATGGGGGTTGAGGCCATTCCAGGGGGTGAAATAACGGCTAGTGCGATTTCCAATCTTCGGTGGCCGAAAATCGCGCTTGATCCTCGAGTAGAGGAGGAGAAAGGGTGTTTGCAAAGCCTAGAAAACTTCTCGACTTCTGAACCACGAAGAAAGAAGAAGCTGAGTAGAGGTGGTGGTTCACTTGGATTAAAAATACGTAGAAATTCTTCTAATATCGATTTTCTTTCACGACTTCATATTGTTTCACTCTGGTACGATGGATTGGAAACTGATTTTGAGATTAACGTTGAGTTTAACGAAATTATTTTACGTTGTTATATTTTCATAAGGAAAATTGAAAATTTAAGCACGGAAGAAAGATTTCGAATTTACTAAGTTAAATAAATTTCCAAAACAATATAGAATCAAATAAGAATATAAAACCGAGTTCAAAGATTTCTTCGATCGCACAAAATTTAATTATCTATTTCCATGAGAGTTATCCAATTATACTCTCATCGATTGTTCTCGTTGAAGTAAGACAGTTAAAGCGATCGAAGTTGACAAAATAAACGGCTGAACAAACTAGCTATATTTCTAAGTGATCTGAAAAGCTAGCTACTCTTCAAGAACGCAACCACTGTTTTGCTTGCCACCACTTTCCCAGTTTTCCACCCTAACGAGGATAAACCTCCCTCGAGAGGATAAAGACGCGGCGAGGAAGAAGTTGAGAAATGAACACGGCCGGGGAGAGGAGAAAAGGAAAAAGAGGAAGGGTGGATAGTGGCGCACAAATGCAGCGGAGAAATAGATTATGGCCTGCGGCCGCGAGAGGGACTCCGTTATTCCTCGAGGAAAAGAGATTACAAGATGTATCATCGGCGATGCTTGCCAAGACTTTATGGAGTTGTAAGCGTTGCCACGATCGAGACGTTAATGCGATGTAATAACTTCGACCTGGTGAATTTAACTCGCCCATTATGCGGAGGAAAAATAATTCTTTTCGAGTAATATTTATCGATCAATCGAACGAAACACGATTTGGAGTGATCGGAAGAAAGGAAATTGATCTTGAAGAAGAATTTTACGAATTCTTATATTAATTACAACTAAAGTGTAACACTATAAATATATATTATAATTTCAAGAATAAAACGTACAGAATAGATATGGAATGCACAAAGCACAAGCTAAGACCCAAATTAATTATATAACTTTCTCGATTGGTGGTTCAATAAATCCAAGTAAAAAAAAAAAAAAAAAAAAAAATGAAAGAGCTTCAGCTTAAAAAAGGATTTAGAGCATAACTCCTTAATAAATGAGACTGTATATTTCATTTAAAAAATTACACGAATTCCTTTCTCTGGAAAATTCACTTGGAAATATATACGATGTACCAAATCCTCTTTAATTCAATTTCTCAGGATCATCGCATATTCCATGCATACGTAATACAAAAAAAAAAAAAAAAAAAAAAAAAGAAAAAAGAAAGGAAAGGAAAGAACAAATTATAAAATATTATAAAAACTATAAGCATCGGAATATAAGCCTGGAACCGGAGCATTATTTTCATGCCTCTCTAATACAATTTCGTTTCGAACACCAATGGCGCTTGACGTCCAACCCGATTCGAGAAAATAGGATTTCCAACGGGATTCTATTTTTGCTAGCGACAACACACTGGACAATGTACTCACGATTCGAAAAGCTGATCGTGTTTTCTGATAATGATTTACGGTATGTAATATTCGGGCTTCGACCACGGATTTTTGGTCGGATGTCGCCGAAATTGGTTCTGCTACTCTTCAGAGAAAGAGAGAGAGAATTTTCCCCGCGTCTGAACCGTGAATTTTTTTCCGATGTATTTTTTAGTAACGTCTAAAGTAAATATCAACCGCAAATAGTGGCTGTGGATGCGGCAGAGGTAACAGTAGACGATCGTCGATAACCTAAATAAAAGAGGTAAAGCTGCCGGTATATTTATTTTTCTTTAGTCGAAAACGTGGATACACACAACAAATAATTTAACATCTCTCGCTTTTTTCCACCCTGTATACTGTTTCATGTAAATTTGTTCTCTCTCTCTCTCTCTCTCTCTCTCTCTCTCTCTCTCTCTCTCTCTCTCTCCTTTTTTTTTGCAAAATGTTGGCAAAGACCCACCGATTTTAAAAGTTTAGTAGATCCATGAGAAAATGTTTTTCTTTCGAATTGTCTAGAAAATGAAATAAATTGATAATATAACATAATATATTGAATCTGAATTCACAGAATCACTTGCTCTTTTGAAAAAATTCACAGATACAGACCGTGTCTAAAATACTCACGATATTCTCCCAAATTGGAGGAAGAAAGATCCTCGAACGAATAATTCTATCGACTCGTGGAATCCACGTGGAATCGGTCTGAGACTTCGTACGGTATCTTCATCCACCCCCACCCCCGCTTAAATCATTAATCCCTCGCATCCATTCAACTTGGCAAACAAAAGAATCCAGAGTTGGCAGCGATGCCGGCAAGAAGCGACTTTTAATAACCAGACTCGGTTAAGACTTACTTAAACAGACCGAGAATGGAGTAGAAGAAAGAAGGGGCGAAGAAAGACATCGATCCTCGACGTTTGTTGCCAACGCGTATCCGAAGGGTTGAAAGGAGGCAGGGAGCGGATCCCTTTTGTTCTTGGCCGCCGTTTTGTTTCAGGATTACGAGCTTATGAAGTATTCGCGTTTATCTGCACCAACTACACGATACGTGGCGGCGGCAGGGTGGTGCGTGGTGGGTAAGTAGAGCGAGACAACTAAAAGCCGGGCTCGGCTGTCTGTTAATCTCCGGCTGGTTCTGCTGATTTCGAATTAATTATCGCGTTAAACCGATATTCGCGTTTAATTCATGTTCACGGAACTGGTGGATGGTTACCTTTGTCGTGAATAATCGATACATTGATTTGTTTCCTTTTTTTTTTTTATAACGTTTCCTCGAAAAAAAATTGGAAATTTTAAATTTGACGAGGAGTATTGGTCTCGAAGGGGTGAGAATAATAAATGAGAATCGGAGTAAAGATAAATGAATAAATGTAATATCGAAATTTCTTTTTTCTTCTATTTTTTAATTCCTCTTCTGATGGAATTATTGATTATTTTCATAAATGATTGCACGATATTTTATAGATTTTTTTAATGTTTCGTCAATGGGATTTTTGTGAAAAGAGAGGGAATCTTTTTGAGGGTGATATTGAAATATTTTTTGAGGGGTGGGAGAGAATTTTTTAACAAACCAAAGATTTGAAGGGATGAGGATGAATGAAAGAAAGGATAATGTGGATGGGAATCGTGGAATTATTTGAGAATGGAGATGTAAATGGTATTGGAAGATATTTTTATATTATATTTGTGAATAATCATATAGGGATTTTTCTGAAAAGAGGATTGGCAATTTTAAATTTGAAAGAGTTGGTTTCGAAGGATTGAAAATGAAAAAAAAAAAAGTAGTAATGTGGATTGGAATTATGGAATTATTTGAGAATGGAGATATAAATGATATCGAGGGAATTTTTTTCCTGTTTCTGCCGTTCGTTACTTTTATCGTGAATAACCACATTTCGCTGATTTTTCGTCGGTCTCGTTGATGGAATTTTCGCGAAAAGGGGATGAAATGTTTTCGGGAATTTTTAACTTGACAGACTAAGTTAAAAAAAAAAAAAAAAAAAAGAAAAAATAACGTATCGAAATTGTAGAATAATTTTGCGAACGATAATATAAATTGATATTGATTTTTCTTACAATTCGATTCGAATTGAATGGAAATTTTTCTCTACTCCTATAAATAATTCTTTAGCCTCAATTTAATTAGAACACGGCTCTAATGTCGATTATCATTTAATTAAACGCTGTAATAACGACACGCCACGTAATTTGTTCGCGGCAGTTGAGTAATTACGGGATTAAAGAAACTACAAAGAACGAAAATCCGTGACGTGAATACAATGAACACCCAGACACGCGAATTTCGAATTCGTGCTACCATCTAATCACAGAGACTCGACACGCGCTCTTTAATTAAATACCTCTTTTAATTTACATTTAATTAAATCCATCTCATTTTTCATACTCTAAATTACTCTATTTTTCTTACAACAGCTCTTCTTTCCTGCATAATAATCATATTGAAAAAACTCTGTAAGCTTATTTTTCAATTATATTATTACATATATTATTATTATTTCGTGTTCTACATTTATATATATACGATATAAAAAAAAAAAAGGGAAAAAAATACTATTATTAAATCTCTCATACACGTGTAAATAAAATGTAGAACAATCATTTTCCAATAAGTTTCATCTACAAAGAACTCGCCCTCTTTTAAAATAGATTTTCCATTAAACGTGTTTCAGAAAGCATCGTCATTATTCCAGTAACAAAAGGGTTATTCAATTCCGATAAAAATGCATCATGTAAAAAGGGTGTTATAATAGACCTGTTTACGGTGAATTAATTATTGCATACGTGTCATAGGTCAATCAACTCTTACCTTATTTTCGAAACGACGATGGGGGTGAACTCCAGTCGTTGAAATCCTAATTCCTGCGACCTTACATCCTCCAGGCTGCTGTATCTCACGTAAGTACAGGGAGGTGTAGAGATAGAAAATTCTGAAACAGAAAAAAAATTCCAATTTGTCAATAAATTTGTTGTCACAAATTTATTTTTACAACGCGATTAAAAAGACCACCGTCGCGATTTTTTCAAGTGGTCATCCATCGTGGTATTGAGCATTGATGCAGCTTTAAAAAAAAAAGAAAAACTTGTAACTCCATCATTCTTTGATGATTTGTAACATATAAATAATCATAACAATATATATTTTAATTGATATTCAAAAATATAGATACGAAAGGTGATTGAAATTGGAACTTTGTTCCAATAATCCATAACTTCGCGATACCTGGAATTTATTTTAACAAATATTGAAATGAATTTTCCATCGTTATTTGTTCTCCTCAGATGCTTTCAATTCCACTAAAATTTTGCATCGAATTTATTTAAAAATCGAACGAAATTATCCGCAATCTTTTATAAAACCGGGATTAAATTATTTTTATATCGAGGAAAATATAAACAAAATTTACTGCAATAGTTAAAATTCTATCCAATCTAAAAGTAAAGAATCTTAAAATAGAGAAGAATGAATTCAGGCAAATAACTATATCAATGAATATAAATCAATTAATAAAAAAACAAATAGTAAAAAAATATAATAAGAAACTTTACATCACACAAGAAACATAAATACGATCAGAAAAGTAATTTGACTGATAACTGGACTAAGATAAACTAGAAAAAGAATTTTTAAATGAGCATAAAACATATATATACTCAAGCAAATACAATCATTTACCATAATCACAAGTAGCATAAGTTAATCATAACCAAACCTCTTTTAATACGATCTTCCAACACGATCTTTTAATTTTTCTTCGTTCATCAAGTCCCGATTTCAAAAGTCCAAGGACAAGTCTCATTTCCATTGTTACACGAAGAATCAAAATTGATTTATTTTTATCACTTCGACGTGCAAAAATCCTCCCCACCATTCGCTAATTTCGTATTTGAATCATGGTCCACGGCCATGAAATTGATCATCACGCATTTTGGACTTTTGCCGGCTAGGCCCGCTTTGTTCGTCGGTGGAATCGCGTGAAAAGCTGAAAGGGGGCGCGCTCGAATAACGAGGCGGCGGCGTTAACGTCGAAAAATCAATAGGGTCGCGTACATTCCTCATAAATAAATATGAATATCTCGTATCCTTTCCCTCCATGGACGGGTGGTATCGAGGGTAAATTTATTATAACCACTGTGTTGCGCGCCATCATGCGCCGATCCTCGATCCCATTGTCGATCGATCGATTCGAATTTCGATTTCTCGATTCTGAAATCGATCACACGCACACCGACAATTCGTCCACGCCGAGCCGACGCTTTGGCGCTTTGACGCAAAAGTGAAAGCGGATAACTAAAATTTCAATCGATGTTTTTTTTTTGAAATTTAACAACGATGTCATCGGTCCATTTGTGGAATTTTCTTTAATTCGTATATCGACGATGTTACGTTTTTCATTAATGGGAATCGCGCGGCATTAATCTGGAATTGTTTCTCGACGAAACGAGATGTAATTCCGCGGGGATAAAAGTTCCATTTTATTTTTCTTTCGTGAAATGCGGAGGATGATGCGACGGTTCAACTTGAAAATTCGAAATTCAGAAACAATTGTATGGATAGAAGGTCGGAGAGTGGGGCAAGGATTCTCTTGCAAAGCTTCTTGTTCTTAAATTCCCAAATGGGAATTCGTGGAAGTAAATGCAAGGGAAAGAGATATCGATGAGGAAAAAGGATAGATTTTGATTCAGTACTTTCAATTTCTTTTTTATTTTGTACATGGAATTTTCATCGTTTTTCAATAAAATAGTGATGAAATTAAAGGATTTTTCATTCTTGGTATTTTGAGGTTATTACTTTGAATAATTTTTATCTTAAATAAATTCAATTGGTTTTTTAATTTTCTCGTAAATTTTTATCTGATGAAATCTTCTTTCGTTTTGACTTATTGTTTCCAATCTTCCTCATCTTGCAAGTTTTAAAGGAAATGAACACTCCCTTAGCACATAAATTTTTTTTTCGATACATAAATTTTTATCGAAGCGTGACGTTCCTTCCTTTAATAATAAAATTAAAACATTTCTTTCTTTTTTTCTTTTTATATATCTTCTGCAATGAAAAGAGCCACTGACGATGAGAAAGGGATGAAATGTTGATTGATGGAATGCTTCGTGATGAATAAATTTTCGTCAAAGCGTGGCATTTCTTTCTTTGATAATAAAATTAAACAATTTATTCGAGTTCTTTTTTAGTCTTCGAATGGAGCGACAAGAGTTACCGATGAGGAAACGTGCCGAACTTGAAACGAAATGAATTTTATTCATTTGTAACATTTCATCCGTGAAATTTTCGTGACGTTTCGAAACAAATAAAGCGATAAATTGGAAACAATTTATTCTTAATTTTCTTTCTTGTTTCGAATTGACGAGGAAAGGGAATAAAAATATCCATTGTTTAAAAGGATCCATCATTTCCTTAGATATACGCGAATTTATCAAAATCTTTTTTACACTTTTCACGGTTCAACGATCAAATTATTTTTCTTTTTTAAATAAACGTAAAAAATATTCCTTCCAATTTCAAACTCGATTCAATATCCATGAGATCCAGCAACGATAAATGGAAAGTACGAAAACCATTTTTGCTCGAACAAATAACTATTGAAACAAGGAAGAACGAGAAGAACGATAACTCGGTAAGAACGATGCAACTATATCATCGTTTCACGCATTGTTTAAGTATCTCATTGTTATTAAAGGATTACGTACAGAAGAGATAATTATTACAACAACAAGAATGAAATGAATTCTTTCACGATGAAATCGAATCTTACTTTTCCTTTCTTTTTTTTTTTTTTTTTTTTTGTTCAATTAAAAGTATCCTTAAATGTAAATTACTCGAAGCTTATAAATTTTACAACCTTTTCTGGATTCCATTAATCTGAAAAGTGCCTACAACACAATTCAACGAGGGAGAAGTTTTACGTAAATCTAGATGAAAAGTACTTAACGATAGTAATCCATTACGCGAGAATGAATTTCGTCTCACTGGCATCACGACTTCGTAATTATCATTACGAGAATCTCGTTATGAATTGTTCACCTGGTTTTACGTGAAGCACGATGAAATAACGAGGGAGGGAGAGAAAGAGAGAGAAAGAAAGAGAAAGAGAGAAAAAGAAAGGAGAAAAAGGGAAACAAAAGCTGCGACAACGAAGGAACAGCGAGCAGCTGCATCGGATTAAATCGCGATAAATCTGAAAGGATTCATCGACTGTACACTCGAACGGATTGAAACTTTTAATTATTTCGTGCATCGTGCTTGAAACCGATCCGTACCGTCCATTATTTTTCTTTCGAAATTCATCATTTATCCCGGGCAAACATTTATCTTGACGAACGTTAAACTGAAAGGAAAAAAATTGGTACACCTTTGAAACACCAATTTAACGCAATGATACTTCGAGAAAATGCAATTTTTCTTACTTAACGATTCTTAGATACTTAATCTTCTTAGATATTTCACATACAATTTGAAAAACAAGTGAAGGAATCGAAAGATTGGCTGAAAAAAAAAAAAGAAAATTAGTTACATAAATCCATAAATTTTAAAAAGATGAATTATAACATTTCTCTCAGAATAACCTGTCTTAAGCTTAAAAAAAAATTCCCCTCCCGTGAATATTCACCAATAATCCAAAAATGGATTTCGATCAACAACCAATTGATTCTTTATTCAGTACAAAAAAAATCCAATTCACTGGACCATCTTCGTACTCCATTCGTACAACATCCTCCCTGTAACCCAAAAATGTATCAGTTAATTGATCGATTATACTCTGACACAGAAATGATCAACATCCCTGATCTAAACTTGATCGATTCTTCTAAACCGAGTTTATTCCCATCTGTAGATCCGTCTCTCGTTTCGCAGCACGCGCGAAACAACTTCCCCCACCCCTCGAGTTCTTCTTTCTTCCAAGTAGACGAGAAGATCGGTTCCACGAGGAAATTTGTCGTGTTTTAAGCTGGCGAAAAAACGAAGCGATCCCTCGATTTCGATGGCCTCGAAAGAAACCTCGATGAACCTGGCTCGCGCCAGACTCGAAAGAACCTCATCGATTTTACAATCTACGCCCCCTTCCCTTCACAGGCTATTACCTCCTCCAAGTCCCTCACACCTGATAACTCCGTGTCCCGAAAATTCTCCTCTTTCCCCCCCCTCCTGTCGCTCCTCTCTGTCCCGCGCTTGTCCCGTCCTCTTCTTTTTCCATGCTCCTCCTCCTCCTCCTCCTCCTCCCTCGTCCTGTCCATCCCCCTTGGAAAGCTTCTTTTTTTCCATCCGCCCCTCTCTCTCTTTCTCTCTCTCTCTGTCTCTCTCTCTGTCGGCTCGGTATTATGTTCCGCTGATTCGCAGTTAATGAGGCGAGAACAGAGCCGTGAAGCTATCCTGCATAAACCGAGGGTGCTTGCAAATTATGAAAAAAAATTCCTGTCCCTCTTCCTCCCTCTCGAGCTTTTTCGCTCGAGAATACTACGCCTCGTTTTGCGAGGAGGTTTCTCACCGGAAAATCGGAGGAGAATGGTACAAGGGTGTATAGTTTTTTCTCGCGATTATTTTCCTTCTCTCTCTCTCTCTCTTTTTTTTTTTATGGTTCTTGAAGATTTTGTTTCCTCCTCTTTTTGTTGATGTTTTGATAGCAGTGTGGAATCTAGTGGAATTCTCGATATATATTTAATTATCGAATATAGTTTCTAATTTCTTTATTTTTAACCATGGAAAATTATTGATCGTTGAATTTTAGAATTTTTCCCGATTTTTAAATATCGGGTTGATCGAACGTATGCTTAAAAAATTTATATAAGAATATAAGTACTTTTTATCCGTATTTTTTGGAAATACAAATAATAATATTTAATAGAATAGTTGAAAGTTTATGTTAACGAGATTTCTCAAACTTATATATCGACGTATTAAATTTCACTTACTCGAAAA